GTACCCAGTGCTTGTATAAATAAACAAGCAAACAAACAAATAAATAAATAAATAAATCTTTAAAAAAAAACTTTTCATTTTTACAGTCAAGCTGTATAGTTTACTCTGATTCTTTCTCCTGCTACAGAACAACAACAGTCATCAATGTGTGGGGCATTGTTCCTGTTTTCTTTATGTCACTGATAACAGAATTGGTTAATAACTTTGGACTTTCCTGTCTATAGATTTGCCACTGTGGGAAACTAAGAAAAAATGAACCACAAAATGGCAGCTTCTGGATATTGGTGAATTTCTCCATTTCATGCCTTGTCCTGTATCTCCTGGTCTTTGTTTCTGCCTCATTAGCAGGAAGGAAAATCATCTCTGGGCCTGAAGTAGAGCACCAGCACTTTTATTTCCAAAATCAGTATGAACACCTCACACATGCCTTGGTGTAAAACCTTGGCATGTCCCTCAGCCCTCATTCTCTGTATTGGCCTAATCACCATGTAAAACAGACTCTTCTTTTTTTTTTAATTTCTGGAATTTTTTTAATATATTTTTTATTTTTTTATTTTTAAACAATATTTGCTTCCCCCCACCCCCTCAGGTTGAATCCCCATAGAGTTTCCTTCCCCAAGGCACCCGTGCACCATCACCTCAGGCCCCTGTGTTCCACCCTCCCTCCCCCTGATCCCTCTCCCTTCTCCCCCCTGCAGGATGTCTCTGGTTTATAATTGTCTAAAACAGACTCTTCTTTTGCAATGTCTTTGCATCTAACCATCCACTACTCTAGTTCAACACATCTTTATTCTACAACCATTTTCCAAGGCACACATAAGCCACATCCTCCCCAGCTCTCTCCACCCAACCTTCCCTCACATCTAACTGAATAAGCAATTATATATGCCATATTGTGACATAATTCCTTTCTGGAGTAAAGGGGAATCTCTTCAAGGGTACGTATACCTAGTTATTATGTAAGCCTCCTGAGGGAAGTCAATGCCTTAGGTTTCCCCCAAATCTTTGGAAATACTTCATTTCTCTTACCATCACCCTTGTCTCCTCTCCAGTATCCATACTCCATATGCAAATGAGTTCCAAATGAAAGCAGATCTCCCTAAGACTTCACATCTTTCTACAGTAACTATCTTCTAACTAAATTAGAAAGAGGCAGATGGTTTTACAAATCCATTCCCTCTTTCACACTCTCTCCTCAGTACAACCCCATCAGGCTTCAGCTCCACCTACGTTTACCTCCCCCCACCCCATCAATTTTAAACAATCTTTTTCTTTTTGTTTTTAATGGGAAAAGGTGCTGATGCAATGGCTACTCTTTCTTGGAAAGAAGAGACCCTTTTCAGCACATTTTGAGTAAGTTAGTCCATAGGTTCAATGGGCCAGTTGGTGAGGACCAGTTGGAATGGGTTTCACAACTAGGGAGGGCATTGCTGGGCCTCGCCTGTGTGCAGTCAGTACCCTGCTATGGAACTATTGTCCTCTTCATAGGTGCAGCCCACTTTTCATTTATTGGAGATAGAAGGGACTAAATTAGTGTCTTTCTTGGTGCCTGAAGCTGACTGTGGGGTTCAAAGATTATATGGATCCAGTCTCTTCCATGCAGCCACCATGATCTCCCTCTCTAGTCCAACTGCCTGCTCCTCATCATTAGGAACACCAGTGCTCCATCTCTGCAAAGTTGAATAATCTTTTTTTAATGCCAGAATTAAGTATTTTGTTCAAAATAAATAAATAAATCTAATCATATAGCTGCTTGCTTAAAATGTCCCTCTGTTAGAAAAATGGCCAATTACCATGATTGGTCATTTAGTATGGCCAATGGCTAAATGGAAAATGGCCAATTAGCATGGTTAACAAGGCTTTATTTTCCCTCAATCTTATATTATATATGTTTCTTTGTATTGATACATCAATCATTTCTCATCTACTTGGACATGACATGCATTCTCCATACTCTTACTGAAACCTCCTCTACACATATACACTCTTGCCTGAACAACTCCACCTACTTTTATTACTAAAGTCTCACTTTAAACATATGTCAGTTCTGTCCACCTATTATAAGTTCTCATAACACCCAGTTTTCATCAAGGCACTTAGCATAAATATAATTAACCACAGTTTTGGGAATGATGGTAGGCATTTAGGAATCATCATGGTGAAGAATTGGAGAGTTTTCTAAGTAACATAAGTATCCTTTTAAGACCCGTGAGGATTTAAAGTTAGTAGTCATGAATATATACCATCATAGGATTTCTCCAGCAGAATATGGAGTAGACTTGGTGACGAGATAGGACAGAAGAACAGTTAGCCAAGGAGTTTACAATATTTGCAAAAGAATATCAAAGTGTTGCACCATAGTAATAAGCTATATAAGAAAGGAAGTTTAGTCAAATGCTTGGTTGTCAGGAGGAAGAAAACAGGTCAGTGGACTAGAGATCTAACAAAGCTTAGAAAAATGGTGCTAAGAAAACAGTTCAAGAAAAAATTGGAAAAAGAGGAAGCTTTGATCAGAGCATGGAATACTTGATTTAGTCATTCTGTTGGTGGACTATTTTCATTTGATTATACATCCTGAAGAATGACTATGGGGAGAGTGGCTGGGTGAGAGGATATAGGTTATGGAAGATGTGTGAGGCAAGTGCTCAACACTTCAGAGTATAAAAGGAGGGGCTTCCCCAGTGGTGCAGCAGGTTGAGTGCAGCGCTGTGAAGCTATCTGCAGCCTCTGCAGCACGGGTTCAATTCCCGTCCTGCCAGGGAGATACCCACATGGCGCGGCAGACCTCTCCTGTCTCTCCCACTGCTCCCCTCAGCAGTATTTTTGGTCCATCTGCCTGTTCTGCTCCCCACTCTGTCTCTGGTGAATCCTCTCACCCTCCTGCACCTCTGACCTGTACCCCAGTTCTTGTATAAATAAATAAATCTTAAAAAAAAAAAAAAAAAGGAATGTAAAAGGAGGCTTGACCTGGATGTTGGAAACCTGGTTATGGGGATGCTGTAAACGGAAACATGAAAGTATGTGACATGCCTGAGGAGAGCTCATAGCATGAGAAAATGAAAGATCATGAATATTTACAGAGCAAAGAAAGGAAGCATAGTACATTAAAAGGACAGGAAATCTTGGTCAGACATGGAAGAGGAAAACCAATACAAAGCATTGAAACTATAGAAAGTGACAGCAATTGAAATGTGCCTAGTACATGCCTTGTATATATTAAAATTAAACAATGAAATATATCAATGGCAAAGAGGGTTGAGAAGAAATAATAATTATATATGGTAAATAACAAGGTTTGGGCACTCATGGGGAATTGTAGAGTGAATACAAGGCATCGCTTTAAATATTTCTTTTTAAATATTTTAATTTTACTCTTGTTTAAAATATTCTGAAAAAATATGGCATTACTAGGTATTGCATGAGCGATCTATAATGTTTTTTCACACTAAAGCACTTGTCACCCAACATGGACACTACTGGAGGGGTGATATGTCAGAAATGCTAATTCAGAAGGAGAAAGACAAATAGTGGGTGATTTCATGCATGTGGAATATAAAGAAACAAAACAAAGGAACAGTCAAAACTAGCCCAAAAGTAGTCCTAGGAATTTGACTGCTGCATCAAGGCTACCAGAAAGGGAGGGTGGGGGTGAGGAGCAGAGTTTGGAGGGGGCCCAGTGCACTATGGTGGAGGACTATGGGTTCCTTGCTGGTGGATGTGGTGTGGTAACAGATACCTGAAGAGGTTTGAACCTACACCCCTAAATCATATCAGTGTTGCATGCCAATATTACCTCAATGATAAGATAATACATAAGAAAAAGTATCTGTTACTGATAAAATGATGCATTTGTGAGTTTTAATATTTTTTTAGAATACCCCACTCCTCTAGATAAGCTGTGATATGTTCTGGTTTAGGCCGCCCCCACTTTTTTTTCTTTTAAGATTTATTTTTATTTATTCATACAAGAACCGGGGTAGATGCATACAGATGTGCGGGAGGGTGAGAGGATTCACCAGAGACAGAGCGGTGAACAGAACAGGCAGACTGACTGAAATACACTGCCGAGGGGTGCAGTGGGCGAGACAGGAGAGGTCTGCCAAGCCATGTGGGTATCTCTCTGGCTGGCCGGGATCAAACCCGTGCTGCAGAGGCAATGGACAGCTTCACAGCAGGGTGCTCAACCTCCTGTGCCACCAGGGAGGCCCCTGCACATTTTTTTTTTTTTGTTAAAACATTAGTTATTCTCATGAAAGCATTGCAATTCAACTGCTTTCCTATTGAGAAATAGTCATATTTTAAGAAGCTGTGATACTATAAATAAAGCAACTACAACATCAATATTTAGAAGTATTTCTGCTAGATAATCTATGTGTGCGATTTGGTTTGGAATCTGTACTAGCTTGGAAAGTATTTTATTGAAGATTTATCAATATATATTAAGCTACAACTAGAATGTAGTACCAATCATTGTATCACCTGAGATACTTTAAATTATAATATAAAATGAATTTTTATTTGAAAATACATGCCCCATACTCTGTATACTACTACTTTTTGGAAGCTAATTTATACATACTTAAAAATCACCCATTTTTCCAATAGCCAGTATTTGTTGAATGTGTGCCATTATCTAGACACTATACTAGGCGTTCTGGATATAATAGTGCATAAAGCAGAGAAAGTCCTGCTTCTAGAAGATTAAGATTTATGGATGAAAAAATGTGAAGCTAATATAAGTGTGAAGACTACTACAAGAATAAAAATGTCTGATGCTATGGGAATGTGTAACAGGAGATTGAAAAGACAATTCAAAATGTTAATAGAAATTATTTCTGGTAATCTAGAAAAAGTACAGTGATTTTATAGTTTTACCCTTGTTTTTTTTATTTTTCAAAGTTTCTGTTTACAATAATATTTCTGATACTAAAAAAGACATAGGTTCACTCAGTAAAAAAAAAGTCAAACAAAGCATTTTGGCCTCTCTTCCTTTCTTGCAGTTGTCATCAACAGCTTCAGAAATTTAAAGCTTACTTCAAAACAATCTAAAATCTAAACTGACTCACATTGCATGTTCCGCTCCTGGATTCGTCAGGTAGAGTTGCTAATTTTTATACAATCCTAATAGGAATTGGATTAAAGAATAGGTTTATGGGAGGCCTAGCAAAGCAAGCACCAATCATGAAACCCACACATTCAAGACTAAGTTTTATGTAGTTTGTGTAGAATTGTGACTACTTTGTACATCAGTTTCTGCAAAGGAAGTAGGCAGAGCCTGGTGTTGATGACCAGAGTATAGAAGCAGGTGGGGAGTCTTGTTTAAAGCTAACTGTAAACAACATGCACATTTATTGCAGTGACTATACAACTAAAGGCAGTTGGTGGAAAATTCAATATCGGATTCTCTCTGGTGATAACTGAAGGGAAATACCTTTCTTAGCTATGACAATTAACAACTTAAATTATACACTCACCCAGGACACCTCAAACATGTATGACATTTCAAAAGAGAGTAAAGAACTAAAATTACAATGACTATAATGTAATATTTGGGATCTTATAGTTTCTTAAAATTCATTATTATGAATATAATTTACCATAAATATTTGGAAGGATCAGAATGGAAGAGGAAAGACTGCAGGTAGACTTGCTTTTGTGATACACTGTAAATGAATAATAAAAATATAAATCAGGGGGCCTCCCTGGTGGTGCAAGGGGTTAAGATGCAACCTATGAAGCTTTCCACAGCTTCTTCAGCAAGAGTTCGATCCCCTGCAGACAGGGAGCAACCTACATGGTGCAGCAGACCTCTCCTGTCTTGCCCGCTGCTCCCCTCAGCAGTGTACCTTGGCCAATCTGCCTGTTCTGTTCCCCACTCTGTCTCTGGTGAATCCTCTTACCCCCCACACCTCTGGCTTGTACCCCAGCTCTTGTATACATCAATAAATAAATCTTTAAAAATATATATATATATATATATAAAATCAGGGTAACTCCTCATTTCTCAAGTGAAAGTGAATTTCAGCTAAGTTACTGGCATATTATGTGAACTAGTTTTTAATGCTATAAAGGGAATATTTAAAGACACATAAATGACGATGTATGTTATCCTTGAACTACCTTTAAGCTGAATTTCAAGCTTCAGATATCATTGCACGACTATAAATAGAGCATAGTTGACAGCACTGCATTTGTTTGGTCTTTAAAAGGTATTAAGGGACAAATGTAGGCTGGTAGAACATCAAATGTTTAAATGGGAAACTGTGACAGGGATTATGGCAGGGTTATGGCTCTGACAATTAGCTAATTTCAGTGATACACTGAAGAAATAAATACTGTGCAAGAAGGCTAATAAATCATGCCTGCCATAATTAATAATCCATGACAGAAGGGAAAGAGAAAAAAAGAAAAGAGGAGAGAAGCCTAGGAAGGAACACTCAGTAACATGATACACAGTAAAGCATGAAGTATCCTCTAGTTACAATAATTTTTATTACCAGAGGCCCCAGGACAGGCTTTCTAGTGAATAGATCGACAAAGAATTGGGAGGATCAATAAGCATCCTGTCAGATTATGAAGTTTGTATTAGTCCATTTCATTTTAATCGTGTGTGCACGTGCACACACACATATGCACACCTTTTAAAGACAGATGGTATCATACCAGGTAGGTATAATCGGGTTGTGTTTTTACTTCCTATCTGTTCCTAAGGGTATTATAATTCCAAGCAAAAAGCAGCCATATATTGCTATCTCATCTCATTTGGGAATTCTTAACTATGTATTTTCCCTGTGGCAATGTGTGATAATAACCATTGATTTCAGGTTACCCATGTACAAAGAATATTATTATCCTTATCAGTGATACCAGAGTTCATAGTGAGAAGCTGACTGAATTTTTAAGAACTGACTTGGCTACTAAACTAGCAATTACAATATGGCATGTTATGTGGAATGATAGGGAGAGTAGATGATGATATTGTCAAGGCGATGACTTAGGATGACAAGGAAAGCTTTCTGCCAAAAGTGAGCATGAGGTTTTTTCTTTTTTGTTTGTTTGGGGTTTTTTGCATAGAAGAATTAGGGTGTAGACCAGAGATATGGGGAGTAAAGAGATTCACCAGAGGCAGAGTTGGGAGCGGAACAGGCCAATCTACTGAAATACACTGCTGAGCGAAGCAGTGGGCGAGGCAGGAGAGGTCTGCCCCACCATGTTATCTCCCTGGCTGGGATTGAATCTAGGCCATAGCAGTGATAGCGGTGAGACTGAACCCCTAGGCCACCAAGCAGGCTCTGACAAATAGTGTGAGGTTCAAAGGTCTCATAAGAGGTAGACAGTCAAAGATAGAGGAGTGGGTGTGGAGTATATGATTCAACTAGAGAGACTATGGTAGATACGCCTTGATTGTGATAAAAAAAAAAAAAACATGGCAGTATAGACAGTAGAAAGCTATCTACTGTAGATTGGGGGTAAATTTTAAGATGTGATGTGGTGACAGATAAGCCTGGGGAGATAACAGAAACCTAACTAATTGTGGAAATCTGAAGCCAGTAGAGGCAGGAGAGTTTGAGCTGGGGAATTGCATAATCAAGTCTGAAACAATTGCAGGGATCCATAGGAGGGATGATAAAGATTTTGAACAGAAGTTATAGCTGCATTCAATGATGATTAAGAGTTGTTGAAGAGAATGGAAGAATGTTGGAGGCATAATTGACAATATTTACTTTTTTTCGCTAATGAATTACAGATTCTTGAAGGATTTTCTGATTATCACCTTTTGTAGCACAAAGTAAATATTCAATAAATATTTGTTGAATAAATGAATGTATGAAGTAAACTCAAGTACATTTATTTTCTGTTGAAATCTGACTTAGAAAAGGAACTCTCATCTCTCTTTTGTTCTGTTGTATTTTGAATATAGGTACTGCCTAGAGTGTTTGTTTTCATCAAACTGCCCTAAATTGTGAAAGAGAAATTATTTTTCTTACAGTTTTACTATGAAAAATATTTGAAATATAGAGTAGTTGAAAGAGTAATGCAGTGAATAACCAAACATCCTCTTCCTTGTTAGTCATTTGCAATATTTCCTCTGTGTGTGTGTGTGTGTGTGTGTGTGTGTGTGTGTGTGTGTGTGTGTGTGGGAATGTGTAGCCTTTAAAGTTATAGACATCACACTGGATCCCTCAGTAGTTCAGTTGCAACTTCTAAGAATAAGAATATTTTCAATGTTGCTATAATAGCATCATTGCCTCTAAGAGTCAACAATAATTCCCCACTATAATAATTAAAGTATTTTTTCCAAGTACCAAAAATATTGGATCCATCAAGTTTCACCAATGTTTGGTTGTCAGGATTCTGGAAATGAGAGCTTTTTGAGGAAAAAAAAAAGCAATGAACTTATTTAAAAGCTTGGGACAAAAGTGCCAAGCATAACTTAGTATTGAATTAAAAGTACTAGGTAACCAGGTTTGTTTCCTAGTTAGAAATGCTTTCCTTTTCTCCAAACAATGAGTTCACTTGGTGAACGAATTGTATTTGTGAGTTAGAGGTCAAGGGTTCTGTCTTTAGATGGGATCCTCCTAATCTGTGAAGAATAATCTTTGTCCATGTGTTCATACTGTACTCCATGTTCTAGGTAATTACCTGCTAGAAATTTGGACTTTGTCACCAACAGAAACTAAATGTGTATCATGTAAATGAAATCTATTACTCCCTTTTGGGGCAAAATCCCTCAATATATAGCAAATCATTATTAATTTGGAGGGACATCTTCATATATAAAACAGCACATTGGTTTAAAGTGCTTATATCATGGCATATTTTGCATGGTGCTTCCTGTTGAGTTTGTATCTGGGAACAAGGATAAGCTGAAACAAATATCGAAGAAAGTTGGACTTTAGTCTACCCCATTGCACCTGCCAAATCATCAAAGCGTAGAAAATATTAACTGCAAATATGTAAGTGTATTTTCAAGGACTAAGATGTTTGTCCTCCTTTCAATTCCTCCTTCTCTCTCCTCTTCCTCCTTCCGAATAGAAATGCCAATAGTAATTGGATAGTGATTGACAGCTTAGAGGCACCATAACAAAATTGGCAGGTCCGGTGTCTCCTTCTAGCTCTCAAGATTGAAAAATGATTATAATTTCCATCCTTTGCATGCACTCAGATGCAGTACAGTATTCCAGGCGATGACTGTCTCTTCTAAAATTGTGAAACTTCAAGCTGTTCGTTAGTTTCATCATTTGCAGAAGGCTAAGTGAATGTTGGTTTATGCGCTTTATTTTCCAATCACAGAAGCTTCCAGTAGTCCCTGTGAGCTGTATTAGCGAGGATAGATAACCAAAACAAGAACATTAGCACTCTCTGGATACCTACAGTAGTTCCTTTATGGGTCTCTTTCTTCTTTTAAAACTTATAATAACATATACTTTATTATATCATGAAATCTTGTTTTATGTTAAAGCAAGCATCCTGATTTTCCTATGCAGACTGTTGTTTAAAATATAGATGTTTGCATGGCAATATTTACCAATAGTTGCAGGGTGTGCACATGAACAAAATTCTTTTCCATTTGTATATATCAATTTGTTGTTTCTGAGTTTCACACCGCTTACAGAGCCTGGCCTTGATGGTAAGCAGGTGTCCCTACTCTTACTATCCTTCTTAGCCTTTGTTTCAGGAAAGCTGCCTTGTTGTTTTTTTTTTTTATTCCTTTTTAAAAAGATTTATTTATTTATGCATACAAGAACTGGGGTACAGGCCAGAGGTGTGGGGGGTGGGAGGATTCACCAGATGCAGAGTGGGGAACAGAACAGGCAGATTGACTGAAATATACTGCTGAGGGGAGCAGCGGGAGAGTCAGGAGAGGTCTGCTGCGCTATGTGGTTGCTCCCTGGCCGGGGATCGAACTTGTGCTGCAGAGGCTGCAGACAGCTTCATAGATTGCGTCTTAACCCCTTGCGCCACCAGGGAGGTCCAAAGCTGCCTTGTTTTCTATACACATCTCCCTCCACTTACAGCAGGGTTATGTCCAGATAAACCCATTATAAATTGAAATGGTCTAAGTAGAAAATGCCAACCAAGAGCTGCTGCTAGTGACAGCTGCCCAGGTTCACCAGAGAGAGTCTTACTGCTGTTTCTCAAGAGTGCCACTCGTCAAGAATGTAAGTCACACCGTTGTAAGTTGGGACTGTCTGTCCATACACAGATATGATAAAGTCTAACTCATAAATTAGACACAGTGAGAGATTAACAACAACTACTACTAACACAACAATTGTAACAATATACTGTAATAAAGGTTATGGGTCTTCTCTCTTCTTTTTCTCTCTCTCCTTCTCACCCTCAAAATATTTTTCTGTCCTAGTATTTTTTGACCCTGGTTGACCATGGATACTTAAAACTTTGTTAAGCGAAATAGTGGATAAGAGGGGGCTCTTATAATGAGCAGTTGACATTTCCTAAATCATCAACCTTATGACATAGCTACTGTTAACCCGATTTTGCAAGGGGGGAGGTTAACAAGGAGAGAACTGAGGCACAGAAGAGTTAAATACTTGCGTAATGTCACACAGTAAATAAATGATAGAGCCCAAATTAGCCCCATTCTTTACCCCTTCACTGAACCTCTTTCCATATTATCTCCACAGGTCCAAGAACAAAAAGGTTACATGTGTGATTTTCCACTTTTAGGGTCAGCATCTACCCCTTATAATTCTAAGTAAAAATCAGAACCTGCTTATAGGACAAAAATTGATTAGTATTAAAAGATTTCTAAGTATAGTTTGATCTGAAAGATAAATGGCTGTTCAACTCGAGGGGCTAATCAGTATGTAAATACATTGGAAATATTGACTTCTGAATTTGCGCACTGTATCTAAATACTTATGACTAGGGGCCTCCTTGGTGATCTGGGGTTAAGTCTCAGCACTATGAAGCTATCAGCAGCCACTGTGGCACGAGTTCGATCCCTGGCCAGGGAAATACCCACATGGTGCAGCAGACCTCCTGTCTGGCCCACTGCTCCCCTCAGCAGTGTATTTCAGTCATTCCACTTGTTCTGCTCCCTACTCTGTCTCTGGTGAGTCCTCTAATACTTACACACACCCCACCCCACACCTCTGGGGACATTTAAGGGAAGAACTACCAAAAAAATAAAAATCACCAGAAACATGCATAGTTTAGTAAGTAGTGAGCTAGTTAGGAAATGACAGAAAGGAAGCAGAATAATACTAAACCCTGGGGACAGAATAGGCTGGGCAGCCTACTCTCTTTTAATCATTCTTTTTTTTTTTTTTTCAGGATTAATTTAATTTAATTTTATTTTTTTTAAATAATAAATTTTATTTTTATATTCCCCATACAATTGCAGCCCCCCCATTCTGACCCCAATCCCTCCCCTCCCGCCCCTCACCCCCCAAAAAGTGTCTCTGGTTCATAATTTTTTGTTGATTTTGATTTTCACTTTCTTATAGTTATTCATTTTCCTGGTCCCTTATTTAAGTTTTCTAGATTCCTGCTATGAGTGAGACCATCCGTCTTTTAATCATTCTTACTTAACTATTCTACCTTCAGAAACTAGAAGCATTACAATTTGAGGATGGTATTTGCATCTAATGAGAGAAAAGTCTGTCTTGCTCATTAGGAATGCGAGAGGTGGTTTTTAGATGAATTTTTTGTTAAATTCTGTTTTTTTAAGAATTTAATTTTTCAGGGGTTGAGATAATTTTCTTTAACTATCTCATCTGGGCCACATCCTTTACTTTCACTTAACAAGGTAAATATACAGTACTATTAATTTTGAAGGGCACAGTATTGTTAATTATAGCAGCTATGTTGCACCATAAATCTTTAGCATGTATTCCTTTAGCACAATTGAAACTATATTCACTGTATAAGGAAATCATCTTCCCCAACTCTCAGCCTTTAGCAACCACTGTTGTAACTTCTGCTTCTGTGAGTGTGACTATTTTTGATTCCTCATATAAGTGGAAACAGGAAATATTATCCCTCTCTGCCAACCAGCAATTCATTGAGTCACCAGGGTGAATATGTGAGGAAAATATGATAGAACTTCCATCAAGTGGAAAAAAAAATCTGAAATAATTTTTGAGAGGACAAAAGTTTTGTTTTATTCATTAAATCACTAAATTAAATGTCTTCAACTCTAGACCAATGTGCTAGAAGTACATAATAAGTTCTTTCAAGCTGCTAGGGTGCCTTTTAGTTAAACTAAAACTCTAATTTGCTCATGGTACTCTAATAACCTTTAGGCATTCATGAAAACTGCCTAATTTATGCTTGAGGCTAACTCACTCTGCAAATGAAGTCTTGCCCAGAGTACAGGCATAAAGAGAAACAGGATGAAATCACCCCAGAGGCAACTAAGCATCTGCCTGGTGCCCCAGAGGGAACATACTAAGAAAAATATGTCTAGTAAGGAAGCTGTGTGAGGCCTCTTCCTGACTCGGCCACCAACCAACTGAGTGAACTCAGCTGTGGCCAAGAAAAAAAGTAGCCAAACTAGCAGTGCCTCTCGACCAAGAAAAGCAGAGATGTAGCAGCGATGGCATCTCCCAGTCTTCTAAGCAAAGTCTCAGGCATTACCATAATTGCGCAAAGCACAAAACTCAGAGAAAATTTTGTACTGGTGTTTTGTTTTTGTTTTTCCCATGGTGATGGATTCCAGGAGCTGGGTGGATTTATATCGCCAAAGATAGTGAGAACCAGTGGAAGTAGAGTGTCCCTAATGCTTCATCTACACCTTGGCTCTGTGAAGCTAGTCAATTGCTGAATGTTTATGTGGCAGGAGACAAAGCTGGCCTTGAGCCAGAATTGGTTCTAGTCATCAAGCCAAAGCCTGCCCCTTGAAATAATGAGCTTCGAAGAGGCAAAAACTGTTTTTATCCTTACAGTGAGCAGCCTGCTTATGATAAAAGGACAACAGACTCCAAGTTAACAGTGCTCCTATCATTGCCTACAAATCTAATAACCACGTCAAATGAATCTGCCATAGACAATTAAAGTTGCAAAAATTAGAAACGATTGTCATAATATTCCCCTTACACTTTTAGCCATATGTGACAGGGAATTCTTCAGGGTTATTTTCAAGATGATCACTTTCTGATTCTGTTTTATAAAAAAAAAGGATATTTTTACCAAAAAAATTAAATGACACAAAAACGATCATTTACTATAATTGAGAAAAAAGAGAACAACAGTATGTTCTAATTAGCATAATCAGACAATAGAGATTTTATTTTCTACTGAGTTCTTAGATCTCTGATGGGGAAAACAATATGTCTGGTACAACTTATCAAGGGAGAATCATTAAGTATTTTTAAAGATTTATTTATTTTTGTACAAGAACCGGGGTACAGGCCAGATGCGCAGGAGGGTGAGAAGATTCACCAGAGACAGAGCAGGGAACCATTAAGTATTTTGTAGCACTATATAAACAAGGCAGCAAAGCAGAAGGGAGAAGAATAATAATAACCACCTAATAATCTTGAAACAACATATTACTAACCTTTAAAAATTTCCAGTATTCAGGAGTGATTCTAAAGTAGCCTGTTGTTTTTACACTGTAAATCACAATCAGAATATTTTCAAACAGTTCTAAAGGGCAGAAAAAAAACAGAAACAAAAGTATCATGTTGAAAACTTACAATGATGGAAATAATAAGAAACATCAAGGGGGAAGTCAGTATTTGAAAGGTCATGGACTAAAACATATTTATATACATATTACATATGCACACACACCCCAACAAATTTCCCTTTACCTCGAGGTAGAGTAGGCTGAGTAATAAATTTTATCTAGCTCTAGTATATGAGAAGCATCCTGGAAGGAGGAGACTTCTAGAAGCAAACAATTAGCTAATGTTTTCACAGCTGAGAACTCTGACAACCTGTACCTGTTAGGAGATAATTCTCTGTGGGTCTTTCACATTTGTGCATGCATTTTAAGCCAGGCACTGACTGCCCTTTGTTCTGACAATCTCAAGGATGTTTGCCTAGTGAACAGACTTGGAAATTAGAGAAAGTGTTGCCTTTTGGAGCAAAGGGCGGGTTTACTCAGAGCCTTGGAATACAGGGATAGTGTCAGTCTCTGGAAGCATGCTTAAGGGCCTGTCTAACAAAGATTGCACCTCCCTCCAGAGCAAAGGGCAGACATGCCTGCTGCCCATTATAAAAGATTCTGGCTCTCTGAGTGCAGAGTTCCTTTTCTGTAAGCCACAATTATAGCTGCTACCTGGCCTCTTCATGTTGTCCTGTGGGGTGTGGAGCTCAGGACACCAGCACAAAATACTGACAGTCTGGCTACTGTCTGTCACTAATCCTGCACTCTCCCTTTTTCTGCTAGCTTCCATGAAACTGTGGCAGACTAACTTTTGAGCTACTAAATAAGGTAAAAAGCCCAAAAGCCACAGTGCTCTTGACATTGCTTACATTGGTATTTACCTTGGAAACATACTGGTTTCTTCTCTTGAGTTTTGCTAAGTAGTGAAAAAATCAAATGCGTTTAACATGGATGATGTATAAATAGTGGTTTTACTGTCACATAGAAAAGAGATCTAATTGTATGTATTAAATATAACTGACTGACCCTATGAGCCCTTTACCAGTGCTTGCAGATTCAAAAATTCTATTTCAGCTGTGTCCTTAGAGCTGATATAGATCAGAGGACTAAAAAAACTCATGAGACTGAGGACTTAATGGTGATTTGTTTATTGATTTATTTGAAATTTTGTGTGTGTGTGTGTGTGTGTGTGTATCATTTCCAAGCAGAAGTTTGTGAGCAAAGACAAGCCCCATATCTCCCTACATGCAAGTCAAAATTAAAGAGATCGTCATTCTTCATCATTAGTGTTGTCAAGTCTGATACACACATGATCACTTTCGGTTATATTCCAGGTTGGATATTCACATCGAATACTCAAGATACTACCTTTTATGGATGATGCTGAACAATTACACATTTTATTTTGAAGGATTTCCTTTTCTACAAGCCACACAGACCACTCTCTCTGTGGGAATAGCTTTTTCCTCCCAACAGATTGCAATTCAAGTAATTAGGTTTCAACTTTCAGTGTCACAGTCACTTGCAATTAATTTTATTTCACTGAAGATCAACCTTTGTACCTTGGTCGGACTTTGTTGTTCCCAAATCTTTTCAGTCACACATTTACAGATAATGAAATGGCTAATTTCACAGGTTGCATTTCCACTCAAAAAAGTGCTGAGTTCCTTCACTTTCCATTGGAAACCCATGAAATTTGCTACAGTTTGTATGATTTTCATCCTTTGGTTCTTAAAGAGAGGTGCATGTGCCAGCATCACCTGGGAACTTGTTAGAACCACAACTCTAGGGCTCTGATCCAAACCTCCTGAATCCTAAAGTCTAGGGGAGAAGCCCAGTAAAAATCTCTGGTGATTCTAAAGTGCAATAAAGAACCACATTGGTTAAACCCCATTGGATAATTAGAATCCATTCCAGAGGGTGGTTAATTTTTTTTAATATCCACTTTGCTTTATTACAAATAAGTTGAGCATTGACTAGAACTTGACAGATTTTGTCTTGTACAAAAAATCACTTAAACTGTTATTATTGGGGGAAGCTATCTAAAAGATACATGTCCTCTGTCCTATTTTTATAACATGCTCTCAGACTATAATGATTTCAAAACAAAAAGGTACTTTAAAACTTGAAAATATGTGATGTTTACATATTACCCATTTTACTTAAATGAGCACATAGTGATGTTTATTAAGCAACCTGTGTTATATTGAAATCTCTCTTACTTTTTGTTCTTTTTACCAGTGAAAGAGAAACACATCCTTTCCAAAGATACAATACCTACTTGGGAACTGCATGGCAAGCCACAAATAATTAAACTGACGTTTTTCAAACAAAAAAATTACTCAGCATGTATCAATATATTCACAAAAAAATGTGTAGTTTGTGGATATCAGAGTTTAATTTCTAAGAGTACAAGTATAAACTTTGTAGATTTTCGTTAACATGATGATTCTTCAAAGGATAAAAATGACAGTGTGTTTGAGATTGAATTCTTTGTATTAGTGTAGGTCCTCTGAGAAACAGATACCACAGTAGGATTAGATATGCAAGAAAGTGATTAGGGGAAATGATTGTGCAGGATGAAGAGGAGGAAGTAGGAGTAAGCAGGGAGAGGATCAGACCAAAGTGTGGGTCTAGCATTGGTGAAAGGTGAGGGGCATGGTAAGGGGACTGGGTAGAAGTCTGAGGCTATAGCACAAGTTTAAATAAGTCTTGGCCATTTCAACGGGGAATCCTTGAGCATAAGAGACCTTGTAGATGCTGAGTCCCAGGTCCAGCAGCAATAGGCATGTGCTAGTAAGTGATCTGTGCTCAGTCACTAGCTGGGAGCAGGCCAGGTGGAAGTGTGGCTTCAGCTCCAACACTGAGATGGATCCAGAAGGCTGGGCAGTCTGTCAACTCTGCACCCACAACAGGACATCTGAGCAGTGCATTTTCATGACCACTAGAGTTTTCAACCAAGTGATTTCTAAAATTTGAAATGCGTAAATAAAAACAGTACATATTTGGCCTATTCAAAGGACATAGTGATCATAACAATTATGTCATATTTCAGATTATCCACATCATCTTTCTCATAGTTGGAAATCTCTGAAAGGAAAACAGCAAAAAATGATGAGATATTTTGTAAGGAAATTCAGTGCTAACATTCTTGATCGTTTGGCTTGAGACCAGACTATTCTAAGAACCCTATGGCAAAAATTAAAAATAGCTCCTTACTTACTATATATGTATATGTATACCCAAGTCAATTGAGGGTTCTACCATTCATGTGACATGCTGTGCCTTGCAAGACACAAAGCTGCAACCCAGGGATGGACTGTACCTGTGAAAGCAAGGATGCAGGTGCCTTTCAGACCACTATGCTAACGTCAGACCATTTTGGTTTGTTTTTAATCCACAGACTAAGTTTTAGGTTTGCATAAAAATTGGTTTAAGTTCATAGTTCATATTTGGGTCCATCCCTTTCTTTGTATTATAGATTCCATGAGCTTTGAGAAGTGTATGATGAACAACACATACCCACAATTAGTTTCTGTTTTTTTTTTTTAAAGATTTATTTATTTATGCATACAAGAACTGGGGTATAGGCCAGAGATGTGGAGGCTGAAAGGATTCACCAGAGACAGAGCGGGGAACAGAACAGGCAGACTGACCGAAATACACTGCTGAGGGGAGCAGCGGGTGAGACAGGAGAGGTCTGCTGCGCCATGTGGGACCCTCGCCGGCCTGCCAGGACCGAACTGGTGCTGCAGAGGCTGCAGACAGCTTCATAGTGCTGTGCCCAACCCCTCGTGCCACCAGGGAGGCCATAGATTAGTTTCAGTGTCCTGAAAAATCCCCTGTGCTCCATTTATTCATCCCTCCCCTGAAAGTCCCTGGCAATCACCAATCTTTTTACTGTTTTCATAGTTTTGATTTTTTCAGAATGTCATATAGTTGGAATCGGCCAGTAGGCAGCTTTTTCAGATTGGTTTCTTTCACTAGCAATACACATTTAAGATTCCTCCTACCTTCCCAAGACTTGTAACTTCGTGTTATCTTTGTCTTCATGATCCACGGGTAATTTATCCATTCATCTATTCAATGACAACTAGGCTGCTTCCAAGTTTTGGCAATTGTGACTAAGGCTGTTATAAACATTCAAACAGCAGTTTTTAATTTTTTTACTTATTTGCATCATAAAGTTTACATTTTAACTCATTTGCATAAATACCAAGGAGTGTGATTGCTTGATCATATGGTAAAGGCATGTTTAGTTTTGTCAGAAACTTTCAAAGCAGCTGTACCATATTAATGACTTTGTTTTAATACATGAACGACTTCCATGTGACCCCTTTAAAAAGTAAAAATAACAGCTCTGTGAAATATTACCAACTTCTGTATTATCAAATGTGATTCTCTCTTCAAGCAGTAGAAGGAAATAATAAATCAGGGAGGACAGGTAGGCATTTTCTCAACTTGACTAAAGAGACCCCCAGACCTTTCTAGTACAAAACAAAGCTTTAATCTTAAGTGGGAATTTCTGCAGAGAACTTAGTGTTTATGGCTGTTTACACCTTAACCTCAGCTATTAATTAACATCCTCTTGGCAAGTAAACTTTGAGAGTCTGGCCTGAGTCAAAGCTTATATTTCCAGAACTTTGTGAACAGTATTGTTGGTAGTTTCTAAATATATGTTTACTGAAAATAACAACAGAAGGTAAAGCTGGATTGTAGGAAAGGTATTAATTTTCTTCTAGCTTTTCAATGAGGATAGATTTTTAAATCTTTTTCCATCCTCTTAAAAAAGTTCTCTACAAAGAGAAACAGATGGTGCACCCCACCTAGCACACCTGTTTTACTGGTTACTCTTAGTCAGATAAAGCTTCAGACACAAAAGACACTGATTTACTAAAAATACCGCCTAATTATAATGCGCATGTTCCTCTATAGAGTGTAAAAGAACTGGGGTGTTTTCCAGTATTTTTTAAAAAAGAAAATAGACTTTAATAAGAGATTATTCTTCAAAAATGAAGAGATCAACTCCTTCTTGTTCAAACTATAAAAGTAAAGTATGCTCAACACAATAATTTTCAGAATGCAGACATAGTAAAATATGATTTTAAAAAAACACCCCCAATTGTAGTACCTAAAGACAATCACTTGATATTTCGGGTAACATACTTTCAACTATCTCTCAACATAAAATTAGGGTAATATTATGTATGTTGTTCTGTCATCTGTTTGTTAAAATCTGCATTATTTTCTGTACATCTTTCCATTTTAAATATACATCTTAAAAATCACCTCTGGTTTTGATAGCTGCATAATGTTCCACTTCTGGTTACATCATAACTTATTTTACAAATCTCTTATTAACAATTAGGCCATTCTAATATCTTCATTTGATATGCAGAGACCATACATCTATAAAATATTCTTGAGGATTTGAAAATTTTTCTTCAGATTACTTACTAGTGGTGTAATTACCAAGTTAAAGAACATGTACTTTTTTTAATGTTGCTATATTTTGCCAGATTGTTCTCCAAAAGGTTTGCACTAATCAAACTTCTAACAACATTATAAAAGAGTCAGCGTTTTCTCACCAACCCACTAACCAAAGAGATTACACTGATTAAAAAGAAGTAGTAATTAATATGTGAAAAATTGTATCTCAATATTGTAACTACATACGTTTTATTGAAATATGAAGTTAAGGATCGATCATTTGTCTATTGACCACTTATATTACTTTTGTTCTTTGCCCATATTTCTACTAGATAATATTTTCCTTATTGACTGAAGATCTCACTACATTTTAGAGTAAGCAAAATGAGTTTACAGAATTTCTAAAGTAGCTATTGATTTTACATTTCTGACTGGAAGCCCCAAATTTTAACTCTTATCTCTAAATGTACAGACAAGTGACTAGAATTCTCCAAAGGAAAAAATGTGACTTGCTAGGACTAAATGATATACAGACAGACAAAATCTTTTGTTATTCTCTCTGAGCCTGGAAAATAAGTATGTGATACCTTCCAAGGTTGCAAAGAAGAATCAAAGATCAGCAGTTTAACATACATGAGTTAATAGCCATTATTGTTAAAAAAAAAACTTTGTTATTTTATTTCCATTATATACACTCACTTATTGGTTAAGTTTCTTTTTTTTTTTTAAAGATTCATTTATTTATACAAGAACCGGGTACAGGTCAGATGTGCAGGAGGGTGAGAGAATTCACCAGAGACAGAGTGGGGAACAGAACAGGCAGACTGACGAAATACACTGCTGAGGGGAGCAGCAGGCGAGAAAGGAGAGGTCTGCTGTGCCATGTGGGTATCTCCACAGCCGGCGGGGATCAAACTGGCACTGCAGAGGCTGTGGACAGCTTCGCAGCATAACGTTCAACTGCCTGTGCCACCAGGAAGGCCCTATTGGTTAAATTT